CAGTTTAATTTCTTAGGTGTAGCCCTGTGAGCCGCGAGGCTCTTGACTCGGGTGCAACCGCAACAAACAAAAACATGAACAAAGAAACATCCAGGAAAAAAAAACAGTAACAAAAATCTTCCAAGAAAAGAAACAGCAACCGTAAATTAACGCTGTGTGCAAAAATCACAATGTGATGCAAGGTGCCCCAGATGTACGTTGAACTTCTTTCGCACCGTACGCGGCCAACCGTGTTAATCGCAGGTTCGTGGGTGGGGGGGGGAACTAAACACAATAAGCTGCAAGTGCTGTTAGCGAGCGCCTATTTAAAGTCGGCACGGCACACCAAGGAGTGGGTGGCCAGCACCAGGCCCGACCACCTTTGTCTCCCCAGTGGGCGATGTTAGCACACCGCACCGGGTACTCATTTGAGGCTGAGTTGACCTAGGGGAGGCCCGGGACCGATTCCGATAATCGTCATCGGTGTCGGCGGTGAGCGGGAATCGAACTCGGGTCGCCGGGATCGTAGCGCAGAGTCGCTACGCTATCGCTCCCGACACGGTCATACGGGAAACGACGCAAATAAATTCCCCTAATAACGCAATCTGGCTCCTACGTCCACAACACAACAGGAGCTCGATGCAGAGGGAGCGCACGAAGGGCTGTCATCGGCAAATTCGATGGAATCACCATTCAACCGCGCATGCAAATGAGTGAATAATAGGGGTGATATTAATATGTCAATAAGTGTTGGCTTTTTTTTTAACAAGATGTTGGTCTGGTGATGATTACTAGTAAAATGAACCACTGAGGAGCGTGGCGAGGTGTGTCACGTGGTGCATGGAGAGAGGCCCTCATCCAGCAGTGGATTGGCAAATGGGCTGTGTATGTCCAACATTAATAATGTTACATTTTGATTTAAAGCTTTCGTGACTGCAGTAATTCATATTCTTAGCTCTATCGGTGTGTTATGGTCGAAACGTCGTGAGAATTTTTATTGTTTTATAAATATTTTATTATTTTATTGTTTCCCTTCAACGTAACTTTACCGAAAGAGCTAAGAATATAATATTAATAAAGTTATCATTAAAGTTAGAATTTCAGAAAGAAAATGAACTGCCATCAAAATCAATGTTGAAAAATACGCATTAAACACTTGCACTTTGCTTATTGCCACAATGTACACATACAAGTGCGTTACATTGTCCATGCACACTGCACGGCGCGTGATATAACCGAATCGATGTATAAACAGTCTAGATGTGTAAGCGCCGCATTTATAAATAAGACGTACTTTAATATCGCCGCCACCCCCTCCCCCCGTCCGAGTTTTTACGACGTCTGGCGAACGTGGATTTTTCAACTTTTGTTCTCAAGGCGATCTCTTTCTCACATCAATGAGCAAAATACCGCAATTTTTTTTTTGTCATCATCGGATGTGTTAAGCTTTCTGTCCAAATTATAACTCAGTGGGTCTCACCTGGTAAGAAACACAAATAGTTGAGCTTAGTTTCATTCCTTCACTTTACACCATTCATACATCTCACGGTAGTTGTGGCCCTTGTGCTCCACGTGAAACATGAACACGCTTTATTGGCACGTTCTGTTTGTGGGCCATCCATTTAGTACGTACGCATGGAGAGGGGAGGGGGGGGGTTAACCCACATGCGTATGCTCACGTATGGGGGGCTCTACTGACAATGTGCGTACGCATAGGGAACGGCGGGGGCGGGGGGGTGAAGCCTCGATAATAATGTTGTCAACATTGGCCTTCAAATTAGTTGGATAGTCCGGCGGTGGACAATGTGTTTGCTTAAAGACGTAAATATTATTAATCTTTGACCGTTTCTGCGTGGATTAAATATCGGCCGTTCTATAGGATTCGTGGGGGGGGGGGGGTGTAAAAAGTCCGCGTGCGTACAGGGAGGGGTCAAGTTTTGACAGATTTACTCAATGGATGGCCCCCCTTACGTGACAAATCTTACTATTTGGCTGCGTCGGGTGGTGTCGCGGGTTGAACGACGCACTTATACTTACGTGATCTAACCCAAAAACAAACAAGCAAATACCTGTATTATGGACGCTTCGTTGCTTTGCACGAAACAGAGCAGTCCAGTTGCTAAGCAGGGGGGACTGACCCATTCCAACACCCGCATCCTGAAGGCTTAGAAAGATTTTGCGTGCGTACAACGTTAAACGGCGGTGGCGGCGTTCTGCACCACGTGATGCGCAAGCTTCGCGTGATGATAAGACACTCCGTGCTCAATCGTTGGCTGGACAGAAGACGGATGTGTATGCTTTCACTTTTAACATAGCTATTTCTGTGACCAGTCACAAACTAATCATTCAGCCATTTCAATGCAAATTATATGCTAATTCTTTTGTCAAGGCGCTTTGTTCCTCTCACACAGCTTAAAGGCCGTGATCTGAACGTGGCTCTTTCACTCCAGCGCTGTCCTACCAGACAGTCTCGTCCCTTCACCTGATGAAGGCCGCTTGTGTTGTGGCCGAAACGTCGTGAGAATTTTATCGTGTTATTTTATTTTATCAATTTATTATTTTATTCTCATTCTACGTGGTGACTTTACCGAAATAACCAAAGAAGAAGAAGAAGACGGAGAGTTCGCGAATGAGCGGTCGAAGCCGTTTCCTTGCACACACGGAGGGTGGGGAGTCGGCGAGGGGGGATGGGGGTCTGCGTGAGAGCCAGACCAGAGCACACGACGGACAAGCCCCGAGCCGCTTCGTTGCTCGTGACTTCCGCTTGGCATTACACATTTTCATAACGTTCAATTTAGCATAGACTTTGTTGTGTCCTTTCTGCGTTTTTTTTAAATGTTACCACCCACCACCGCAGCCGCCTTTACAACAAGGTCACGCTACAGATTGTGCGCATTTACACAATCCAAGGGTGAGAATCCTCGAGCAGCCAAAACAAAGCCACGTGGGAGTTCATCAATGCGCGTGTAAACGGACACGCGCATGGATCATGTAGGGTTGGGTCGAAAAATTAGCTACGAAGATCGGGAGATTTTTTTTTTGGTTTGTTTGTCTGTTTGTTGAGTGGAGACCAAATGAGGGACGATTGAAGACCTTTGTGCTTGCACGCTCAGGTCAAGTCGTGAGGCAGTGCAGCTGCCGTGCACTGCTCTTTAAAGCAGATGATATATGAAGGTCAAAGCCAAAAGGCTGGCACATCTGGGACATTGCGCAGAAGACTTGCAATAGTTTGACTCCAACGGCCGCGTGCGAACAACCTGCAATTGGTTGCGAGAGCGGAAACCTTCTTGTGAGCTGAAACGTACGAAACAAACATGCGTGTGAAAATGTATTTCAACTCGGCAAAAATATATTTACAAAATAGTTTTCTCTCAAATGAAAACGAAGGGAGCGAGAGAAGCGCGTAGTGGACGGGCGCGTACAAGGGGCACGGATTCACAGATTGGCAGCATCGTCATCAAAAATAATCATGCTCATAAACTCGGTTTTCGACAGCGCAATGCACACAAGGCATCGAGGCGCATCACATGAAGCTTCAGTCACGGATAAAGCCCGTTGTAAAAACAGGTGAGGTTTAAGATGTAACAGACTCAAAGACTCCCTAAGTCTCGATTTAAAGCTTTCGTGACTGCAATGATTCATCTTCTTTGGTTCTTTCGGTAAAGTCACGTAGAATGATAATAAAATAATAAATTGATAAAATAAAATAACACAATAATATTCTCACGACGTTTCGGCCACAACACAAGCGGCCTTCATCAGGTGAAGGGGGCGAGACTGTCTGGTAGGACAGCGCTGGAGTGAAAGAGCCACGTTCAGATACGGGGCTGAAATTTGAGGCTTAAAGGCCGTATCTGAACGTGGCTCTATCACTCCAGCGCTGTCCTACCAGACAGTCTCGCCCCCTTCACCTGATGAAGGCCGCTTGTGTTGTAGCCGAAACGTCGTGAGAATATTATTGTGTCATTTTATTTTATCAATTTATTATTTTATTATCATTCTACGTGACTTTACCGAAAGAACCAAAGAAGACTACCTAAGTCACCGAGGAGGAAGAGAATTACACAATTGCGGAGCTGCAAAAAGCTCCGTCTCCCACAGAGCAACAAATCCTGGTCTCCGGAATAATGAGTAGTGGAACAGAATCAGCAGATCTACGTTATCGCAGTGAAACATAAAACGTATGCGGATCTGTGAGATCAGAATCAGAATATGTATTTAAACTAGATTCGAAGCCTTCGTGAATTCTTTCTACGTGACTTTACCGAAAGATCCAAAGAGTAATATGTAGTTATACTGGAGAAATCCGGTGATCTATTAAGCTCTTTTCACAGATGCCCATTAGTTTTCACAGATGAACAGTTGATATGTAGGAGCCCACTGATTCAGGGCCTTAAACGTGAGAAAAATAATTTGAAAGTCGATTCCTAAAGTCGATGCTTAAAGTCGATTTCGGAGCTAAGTGACCCCTGTGCTCTCTCATCAAGTCCGGCTTCGAGAGGTTGTCCTGCTGCAGCTCCGTGTGAACGCTAGCCCGGTGATTAATTTTGAGGTGGGGGTGGGGGGCAGGCCCTGTCAGCCCGAGCCACCCCCCAAACCAAGGAGGTTAAACAGCGGATAGGGGCGGTAGTGGGCGGAATGGTTTGTTGCTGTAGATTATTTTGTGAATGGCAGCTTCAGAATAACTGGGCTGTAATGCGTGTCATCTAACGCATGCCAGGATCGGAAACTATTTAGGTCATAGAATTGCGTGGGTAAAGCGGCAATACGATTCAAGCACCAAAATAGGGCATGGATTTGGCAAAAAAAAAATTCAAGTCACTAACCTTGGAAGACTTAAGATGTGACATTTTTGGTTTTGTAGCAGTAAGCGGATATGCTGGCTAGATTTGTCAAGACAATATAATGGCATTGCTATTTTGAAACTTGCGGAAAGAACATGACCAATGTCAATGTTGTAATTAAAGCCAAATCCTTGTGTCGTTAATCACCCAAACGTCTGTTCAATTATCTTGATCATATCACGATTATAAAACATTTATTATGTACAAACCGCGTTTGTATATTTTGTATATTTCATTACATTTGCATACACAGCTATTTATTGGACAGGGGCATGCACACATGTTAATAAAACTAAACATTGCATCCGTGTGTAATATTCTGAATCAGGAATTAAAAAAAATAAGCAGTACGGGCGCCAAACAACTGCGACTCTTGCAAAATCAGACTCATCCGCGGCCTCTTGCATTCTCAACTGGTTAAACCAAATTAAACTTGAAACTTTAAAACGGGCCCAAAAGCCCCAAACAGCAAGTAGCCAGTAACCAACACGGCTGCCGAGGTTATTCCATCGCAAACTGTCACACAATCTCCGGTCATCCCCGCAGCAGTGGCGAACCATCCAACAAGGACGGTGGTCACTGCATCGCGCCGCATCAGATGAGGTTCTGCGGACCTCTGGAACGCTCTTCCTTCCGATATTAGGAAGCCACTGGAGCAATGCACTCTTAAATCATCTAGATTGACAAACTCGCTTCTTTAAAGCTCCTTTTTGTGTTTAGTTTGTTGTCCTTCCCCCGCACCTCCAATTAGCATGGTTGGCTACGTACTGTGCGAAAAAAATTCAACATCTATACATGTTTCTAATCATATATATAAAAAAACACATTATTGATAAATGATAGTGTTCGCGACCTCTCTTGCAAAAGTGAATATGTAAATAAAAAAAATATTCATTAAAAAATATATTAATCTACATATTGGTAGGTTAAGTTTCTATCAAATAGATTTGGCTCGCTGACTGCGGTGGCTTGAACACTGTGTTCAGAAGTGACACGTGTAAAAAAAGACAAGTTGTTTATATACACAAGGCATGTCGGGATACATCAATTAATTGTTGAAATTCCATTCCAATATTCAAGCTAATGCACCGAACTATGCGTGTGAGAGTCAATGCTTCTACGTCGTACGAAACGGGTTCACACTGGCTCACACAGCCACTCGAGGTGCTACGTTCACCACCAATGTAACCAAAACACTTTCAGCAGGGTGGTCCAAATGTCAGGGCACAGGGTCATATTTATTGTAACAAATGACTGACGGTTATTTCATGTATTTTAACAAATGCTCAAACTGAATTCCATGAATATCAATGCATGCATTTTATTTGGAAATTCAAGTAAGATTTTTTTTTTACATTCATAAATAATGTTTTGTTTTCTCAATTCTTTCACGTGTCTCGGTCCAGATTTTTAAATGACGGATTTTAGGTGACCCCCACGGAAAGAAGAAAAATAAATACTATTAATGATAATATAAATAATATTAGCTTAAAGAATAAAAATTCAAATGTTTTAATGCAAGTGTTAAAATAAATGAAATAACCCGATGTGTCCTGACAAGTGGGCAACCTGGTATAATGCGATTCTTGAACAATTATTAAATCACGTTAAAGCAAATTGTTACATTAAATAAGCAACGCTCCGCATACCGTGTATGTACGAACACAAGCTATATCTGACAAGGCATACGCAGGGAGCCTACAGGGAATGAGAATCCACTTTTAACAATCGATGACCCCCATGTAGGGGTCTCTCGTATCGGCTGATCACCTGCACTTTAAGACAACGTCAAAACGACGGTGTTAATACAACGCCAGAGACAATGATTACAAGGATGGGAACGTGGTTGGAAGCGCTTTCGTAAAAAAAAAAAACATGAACTTAACAATGCAAAGGAACGTACAATGTGCCCAAAGGATAATGCTACTTAATCGGCTGTGTGCGTGTTAATCTTCTGTGACGCACAAGTCAGACACATGGAGGCGGACAAAGGAAAATGGGATGAAAGCTGAAAAAGTGGGCAAAGAATCGTGGTGAGGCGGGTGCTTGCTCGGACCTACGATGAGAGACAGGGAGGGAAACAGGCGGATCGGATAATGCACACATTGTATTGACTGTTGAGAAAATTAAGCGGGCTTTGGCAGGACACATCGCAGATAGGATGACGAGATTAACAGCAGAGTGGCAGCCAATGAGGTTTAACGTCGCCGCGGAGATGGAGCAGTCAAATGAGCGTGTGTGTGTGTGCAGCAGCCCGATAGAATCTCAAGAGCAGTGAGAGACGGTGATGGCTTGGTGGAGGCCTTCATCCAGCAGTGGATCGATCGTGGCCGGTAATGATGATAATACCATGTTGCCTGGCCTGCAGGGTGGTTGTACAGCTACACAAAAGTCATTTTCGTCCTGTGTGTGGTGATTAAGTGGCCTCGTCCGGAAACGCGTTCCATAAACAGTTCACTTGGGGTCTTTATGTTTAAACTATACCAAGCGATGATCTGGCAACGATGCGTCGGGCTCGAGCTGGGGAAGTCACGGCACGTCAGACAGCCGACATCAGAGCCGGGACGATCTTGCCACTTATGAGGTCCTCCATGCCCCTTCGCAGCTGCAAAAGGGGAAAGAGAGACGAGAAAAGAAAATGACACTAAGCAGACGCGCTCCCCGTTACGGGTCGCAACCCGTTGCTCGCGCGTCGTGTTCTCTCCGCCACGCTGGAATCGATCGGCTTTCTGAAAAATCAGGCGGGAGGCCACTGACAATGAAGTCTGTCTTCTCAAGGGAGAACCTTCAGAGGGTTTCGGCTGACCATCGAGCAAAGACGGACCACTGCATGGCGTGCTCCGGACCAATTTAAATGGGAATGATTGAGATGGGATGCGATTAATGTAAGCGGCTACGAGGTGCTGTGGTATTTAAATGCCCTCTACGAATGTAAATCGTTCAATCTGTGTCAATAATGTAACTGTACACGTGGACTTTATATGGTCACTGCATCGTGTGCGTTCAGATGCGCTTCCGCAGCCGTCTGGGCGCTCTTCCTTATGATATTACGAATCCTCTGGAGCTATGCACTTTTACATTTACATTGAAAACTAACTTCTTTGGAAGTGATTTTGGGTTTAGTTTGCTGTCTTCCCCCCCCCACCCACCCACCTCCGATTAGCACTATTTGCTACGTAGGGTGCAAAATAAGTTCAACTTATATACATGCATGCAATAAAAGACAAAAAAATGTTCAATCAATATTAAACAGTAATTAATGGCCATACACTAACGATACACATCAATAATTAGCAATGCAGCATTATGCAATGCAGAAAATTAATAACATTTTCCACAGTTCTGTATCACAAGGGTGCGTAATCACAATATGAAATAGGGTTACGAATTGGTTGGCGCTGTGCGTTGTTCGACCCAGCCACGACCCGAGTTCGATTCCTGTCAATGGTTAACATCGGTGGCGAGTGATATCAGAAACCATCCTCTGCCCTCCGTCCTGCCTTTACCAACACACACCGGAGTAGCGTGGTGAAGTATGGTTAGAAAAAAAAGTTTGACTCGCACGGCATGAAGACGCCTGCATTCATGTGTGGATTCAGAACTGCTCGGAGGTTGTTGTTGTTGTTGTGATCCCTTTTGCGCTAATATGCATCTAAAATCGAGTGCATATTTTTTTCCGCCAGAAATTCCCCTTTAAGTAATTTACCGATGGGTCTCAGTGGGTTCATCAGTAAGTTAGTGACGCAGATGACAGAGTGGGGTGTTTGATGCCACCGAGTGAAATAAGGACTGAAGGTTCCTGTTATCTTGTTAAGGACATCGGCTGATGTGAAATCTCCCGCACATCGCTGACATGGATTATTTCCGTTCAAGAGAATTGCTGAGCCAGATTCTCTTTTGAACTCTTTGTGACTTATCTGGACGTTATGCAGTGCGGTCGGCCTGTGGTAGTGCAGTACTTGAGCTGGATGAATGCAAATGTGAGTGGCAGTTGAGCAGTTAGCGTGCTGTGCTATGAACCCCGAGTTCAATTCCCGCTCAAGAACCAATGACGATTATCTGAATCGATCCTGGGCCTCCCCTAGGTCGACTTAGCCTCAAATGAGTACCTGGTGCATTGTGTAAAAACATCGCCACTCGGAAGACAAAGGCGGCCGGGCGTGGTGTTGGCCACCCACCCCATCGTGTGCCGTGTCGGCCTTCATAGCTGCTCGCTAACAGCACTTGCCCCAACAGCATGATACGGCTATACAGGGGATCTTTGTCTTTGTGCACACAGAGCGGAGTGGCGATGGTTGACACACCGGGCAAGAAGTCCAAATCATGTCCTATCCTTCGTTCTTTGGAGGCCCACAACCTCTCCCCCTCTTTCTGAACCTTCCTCCGAGTTCAATCGCCTGTTGCGGCAGTATTGAACAATGTTTTATTACTGTTAATCCCCTCTCCGCCTCCTCTCTGTCCACCAGCAGGGTACACACATGGGTAGAGCACAGTTACTTGATCGGCGAAAGACGTCTGGTCCACGCTGAGCGGACGTCTTGAAAGACGTCTGGTCATCGTGGAAGAGTAGGCCAAAATTCCCACGAGAGCTCCCTCTAGTGGAAGCCCTCCCGCCAGCAGTGGTGTGAGCTAGCAATTCCTGGGTTGCTCTTTTACCATTTTACCTGTTATGCCTTGAGTGTAAATGTAGAAAAATAAACCCAATTTCTGGCATGCGAAATGCTGTTTGTTGGTGGCAGGGTATGATTTCTAGCTTTGCCTTCATCTGACACGTGTGTGTGTGTGCGTGCGCTGTTTGATTACTGTTCCAGGCAAATATTTAGAAGGGCACCCGTGGCAATGGGTGATCTATTGCCATTGTCCATGGCAGCAAATGGTTCAGCAGCAATTGGTGTAGGGACTATGGACTAGATCACTGTACTATGTTTAACTTCTTTCCCACCGCAAGTAGCCAACCGTGCTCATCGGAGGTACGGGGAAGAACAACAAACTAAACACAAAAAGCAGTTCTTCAGAAATGAGTTTTTCAATGAACGTCCACGGCTCCAGTGGCTTCCTAATATGGAGAAGGAAGAGCATTCCAGACAGCCACGGAAGCGCATTTGAAAGTGCGTGATGCAGTGGCCGTTTATGTTCGATGGCTCGCCAAAAGTCGCTGCGGGGCAGATTTGACAAAGTCGGGGGTGGGGGGGGAGATTTAAGAAACCTGCACCATCGTTTCAACTGCCGCGTCGTGAGATAGAATCGAACCGGTGATCTCTGGATTGCAAGTCCAGCGTGCTGACCATTACACCGTGGCAGCATTCTCACTTAATCTCCCTTAAATCAGTTTCTCCTCTCTCACTGCCCTCTCTCTCCAGACATTTTACAGCGTTGCCAGACAGACACATTATTTAGCAGGCCGTCTAGCACTGGGCAGCAGCAAGCCCAGGCCATTGCAATACTCAGCTGAACAGAAACGTAACATTCTCCTTTCAAATTCTGACCAGAAACACTTTCAAGAAGAAGGGGTGGCTGGGTTGCCCAGAGGTCGGAGCACTGAGAAGCCTGGGTTCAAATCAAGGAAAATACCTGTAATCAATGGCGGAGCCAAGATTTTCAGATAGGGGGGGGGCAACCCCTCCAGCAATGAAAAATGATAGAGGGGTTGTTAGTAAGTAAGGAGTTGTTAGTACGTAAGGAGTTGTTAGTAAGTAAGGACTTGTCCCTTGCTTTTTATTCGACGACGCGCGTGTGGCGATGGCCCAGCCATCGATCGAGGGTCGAATTGCGAACCGCCTTGTGTGATCGGCATCGCGCTCGCTGAAGGTGTTGATGCCTTCAGGGAAGTCGTGTGCTGTATACGCAACTGCGCACGATTCTGTGAGTCACTTATAACTGCTTTTCCGTTACTTATTGCCAATTATGGACTCAGACTATTGTCCTATCATCTTTTAGAGCTCCTGGCACATAATAATATGCTACATAGTGGCAGTGGGGGTCGCAAAATGCCGATTTATTACTAATAAACCCCAATGATCCGATCGAAATTAGTGATCTCGATCGGATCATTGGAGGGTGGGGGGGGGTACGTGCCACCCCACCCCCCACTGGCTCTGCCAATGTCTGTAATTGAGTCTGGGTGCTGTAGTATATTGAGTGGGATGATATCTCCCTGGTCACCAATGACTGCATAAAAACACAAAGAAATTAAATTAAATTTGGTTTTGCAAAAAATATATAGTTTCTATACTAAATTTAAGATGAAAAAAATAGTTAAATAGTTGGCACACCGTGAACATTGCGCTTTGTGGCAGGGCAGGTGGGGAAGTGGTGCCCTCTACTGTGTGGAACAGAGGTCACCGGAAGGAATCTCAGCAGTAGCTCTGCGATGTCTGCTTCCAAAGGACGTTCTATAAGTTGAAGGGTTGCACTGCTGTATGATAGATCCGAATGGACACTTCATCCCATGGCAGTGAGAGATCGCAAGAGAATTTGAATAAACGATCGGGTGAGCGTGGTGCTAGATTGGGTGAGCGTGGTGCTAGATTGGGTGAGCGTGGTGCTAGATTTGGTGAGCGTGGTGCTAGGTTAGGTGAGCGTGGTGCTAGATTGGGTGAGCGTGGTGCTAGATTGGGTGAGCGTGGTGCTAGGTTAGGTGAGCGTGGTGCTAGATTGAGTGAGCATAGTGCTAGATTGGGTGAGCGTGGTGCTAGGTTAGGTGAGCGTGGTGCTAGATTGGGTGAGCATAGTGCTAGATTGGGTGAGCGTGGTGCTAGGCTAGGTGAGCGTGGTGCTAGGTTAGGTGAGCGTGGTGCTAGGTTAGGTGAGCGTGGTGCTAGGTTAGGTGAGCGTGGTGCTAGATTGGGTGAGCGTGGTGCTAGGTTAGGTGAGCGTGGTGCTAGATTGGGTGAGCATAGTGCTAGATTGGGTGAGCGTGGTGCTAGGCTAGGTGAGCGTGGTGCTAGGTTAGGTGAGCGTGGTGCTAGGATAGGTGAGCGTGGTGCTAGGTTAGGTGAGCGTGGTGCTAGGTTAGGTGAGCGTGGTGCTAGATTGGGTGAGCGTGGCTCTACGCTGGGTGAGCGTGGCGCCCACCTCTGCAAGTGTGACAGCCCCGACGAGCCGCCCGGCCGACGTGACGTAGATGAACTGCAGCCCGAGCAGCTCAAACAGCTTGTGAGCCTGCGAGGAGATCACATCATGGGGGAGGAGGCTCAATCTCTGGCGTGCGTGTGCTGGTGCCACGTTCCCACGGCTGGGGGGTAGAACCACGCTGGCTCGGTGCTCGGCGCGTCAACTGGACTAGTCCCACGGCAATCGCCCCGGAATGTCACAGGGTCAATGTATGTAATGTATTTTGAACTTCTTTCGTAACCGTGCGTAGCCAATCATGCTCATCGGAGGTGCGGGGGGAAGGAAAACAAACAAACCACGAAAAGCAGCTTCAAAGAAGCGAGTTTGTCAATCTAGATGATTTAAAAGTGCATTGCTCCAGTGGCTTCCTAATGTCGGAAGGAAGAGCATTCCAGACGGCCGCAGAAGCGCATCTGAAAGCGCGCTTTGGATGCGAGACGTTCGCTCCGTGATTCCGCTCGCTTAGTTTCACTTTTCAGGCACGTTTGCGGTTAGAAATATACGGCTAAAAATTTACACGAGCGAATGATAGTCCTGAGCTCCCTTCACCCAGCCATCAGTGCCATCGCCTCCCTGATTGTGTTCAAGTTCAGGCTCAAACCCTTCTATGATTAACTGCGTCTTTCTCTCTGTAAAATAAACACTCCCACTGTTTATGTGCAGCGTCTTGAGATGCAGTCACATTTAGGCGCTGTATAAATCCACGTCAGTCACATCTGTAAATGACGAGAGAGATACAAAAAAAACCCGATCGTAATAGAATGATAGTGCAGGCTGCAAGACCGTAAGTTTCAAGCAAGACACGGAAATTAGTAATAAGCACACAATGATGTCCTGAAGAAGTGCATTGTGGTAAATACACATCGTATCTTTATGTATCACACTATGTAACACATTTCTTTTTTGTTCCTGAGTAGTAAGTGCTATTTTCCAATTGCTTATGCCTCAAAAGTACAGAAAATGGCTATTATTCCCCACAAACTTTGCTTTTGTGACCAGGACAGTGATATTTTGAAATGTACGTATTTTCAATGAGAACACGTGGTGTGCATTTGTGTGTCATTCCTTCACGTAAAGTCCTGGTCAGAAAAGCAAAGTTTGTGGGGAATAATAACAACCATTTTCTATACTTTTGAGGCATAAGGAATTAGAAAAAAACACATACTACCCAGGAACAAAAATCGTGCTACATTGTGTTATCAGTGTGGTCAAATTGGGTGATGTGGTGCTGGTCACATCACCGCCAGTGTACCGTCCTGGTTTAGCTCGGCAGCAATCTTTTATATGTGTACCTGCTGGATGCAATTGTTCCAACAGCAGGCAATGATTAAAAGTGCTCATTGTTTCTGAATGTAGGTTTAAAGAAGTATCTGGGCAATGGTTGGGGTTGGGTCTTGAGGAGTTGCAGTTGATATAAATCATAGTGTGTGTGTAGTGTATCATTTGCAAGTAGTGAAATGTTTTTCATAATAAAGGTTTTTGGGTTAGATGGTGTAAGGCTGAACGTGTCCTAACCCTCCACCACACGACACAGCCGGCAAGGTTTGTCACGTAAACAACGCGCGAATTTGAGTAACCGTAAATGTCGTGGATTTACTCTCGAACACACCGTTGGTGCTGAAGTAGTAACTAATTGTAGTTTACGTGGCAAACCTTACTGGCTGTGTCGGGTGGTTGTGACACATTTATACTAAGGCGATCTCACCCAAAAAACCTTTATTATTAATAATATTGGTCGCAAAAGCCTACGTGTTAAAGTGAAATGTTTACTGAGAGTACCTGATAGAGGGACGTCTTTGGAGAAAGCTGAAATGTGATTGGCTCAATGTCGCATCCGTCGAGCGTCTTTGGGGATTCCAACTCCTGGAGGGAAGGAGAGATGCATGGGGTGCCAATGATGGCACCGCTTCATGTCGATAAAATACACGTCTGCTCTTTCCGATGGAATTCCCATTGTGCTACGGACGTCGTGCGGCATTAGAGAGAAACGTTTCCATTCGTAAATCTCGCACAAAGCAGCGCATCGTCACCACACGTTAGCGAATGGCCCCTGTTAGATAATATCACGGAATTACGATCCATAGTAGATTGTTTTTTGGGCTGCGCCATATATTGGCCCGGTCAATTTTCTGGCGAACGACCCCGGCGCCGCCCGACGTAACCAAACAACTTTAATAGCCGCGCGGTGCACGCGCGTTTTACAACGCGGCAATCGTTGTTCATTCCACTAGAGCGGTCAAGTTGAAGAGCAACTCTCACAACCAACTTTAGAAATTAGATACGGCGTGTCACTGGTAACTCGTGTCGTGGATCTTCAAAAAAATCCACGCAGTGGGAAATAAAAGCCAAGAAGTCAGAACATTCAATCAGCCTACTTCAGCAGTTTTTTCTTGCTGTGGTTGTCTCACACCTGATGACGATTGCTTGTGTTGCGATCGAAACGTCGTGATCTATTATTTTTCTACCTACGTGACTTTACCGAAAGAACCAAAGAGTATCGACGTTTATGTTTGCTACGAAAAACGTAACCACGGGACTACTTTCGAGAACCTTTCAATCACCTCTTACTCACACTAGACGGGTGCCGAACCTTTTCTACTTGCCCTGCTATCGAGGTGTTTGCTGCATGTCAACCAAACCGAACAGTTAGTAATCACCACAGCTGGAAAAATGCAGAAATACCCGAACACCGAATTTAATATTACAGTGTAGTGTTTATTTTGGCGAAGTGCTTGGTTTGTCGGGCCGAGGCCATCCACCTGCTATGCTTGAGGACCTGGTTTAATCATGCTCGGCCGAACAAGAACCCAATTATTTTGGCGACGCAGGCTCAGCGCTCTGACACGATATTACCCCCCTGGGACTGCTGGCCACCCCCAGAATCCATTGCTTTACTTTAACAAAGTACGGTACTCTATGCTGGCCAAATCGTGCCGAATGCATTCGGTCTCATCAAATCTCAGAAGCTGAGCAGGTTTGAGCCTGGAGCCCTGGACGGTGCTTAGTTGGGCGGCCATCGTGCATTAAAGAGGTGTTCTAGACTGCTTCGGGGATACCTCGTCGACAGCAGAGGCCGGCAGAGGGCAACACAATCAATTGCTGTACTGTACCATTCTCCCACCAACCGGTGCTAACCAGCGCGGTCAAGCTCGTTTAAATAACCCCCGATGAGCTGTACGACATGGGGAATGCCTTCATCCAGCAGTGGAATGACAAAATTACTGCACTGCCCTCTGCTGACCACCAGGTAGGCCCGCATGCTGGCCACTCTCATCAGAGCAATGTCCAGGCTCAAGTGTGCTCAGCTTCCGAGATCTGCGAGATTAGGGGCAATTCTGGGCTGATTTGTCCTGCAGGCACAGACTTGGTGTGTGTTGCCGTACAGTCTGATACATCGTCCCAGTGAGACTCACCCCATCCGCGGCCCGGTTTCTCATCCAGTGAACAAGTTCTGGTCTCCTCACCGCGCCCACCAGAATCATGGAATCTGAGACGAGAGAGAAAACGCAGGCGACTTCCCGTTGTTTTGAATAAAGATGCAAACCCGTTTCACGTGTGACATCTGGGAGTATAAATACCGTGGCAGTTTGGGGCGTTTTTTCTCGCCACCACCACACTTTGTTGCCCACCTCTGATTAGCAAGGTTGGCTATGCACCGTGTGAAATAAGTTCAACATACATATATACATACACTCACGCGCTCACTGACCCACTCACTCGCACACTCACGATTGGCTACGTACGGTGCGAAAGAAATTCAGCATAATGACGAATCTGTAAAATCAGCCCCAATCTCAAGACTGTTCCCAAACATAAATGTGTTGTGATTGACGAGAAACTTAAATGGCAAGGCACGGTCCGTGGGTCCACGTGACCCATTCCGTGTTTTGAGAATGTTGTCAGGCGCCGAGCTTTGGCACTCACTGTCGGCGTCCACCACGGGGTAGGCTGTGAGGGGCACCGACTTCAGGATCTTCTTGACGTGACGCTCCGAAGAATCGCGCGTCAGGTAGCTGATCTTTGTGTTCATGAACTGCTCCACTAGAATGCCGTACGCCCTGCGGCAGCGGACAAAAGACGAGCAAAAAAAAAGACAAAGATCCCCCGTATAGCCTGAACAGACTTTAGGAGCAAGTGCTGGTAGGTGGTGGCCAACACCACGCCCGGCCGCCTTTGCCCTCCGTTTGACGACTCTATTTACCCAATAATGTCAGTGTGGAACGCACGTGACGTCACCCCCCCCCCCCCCGTCGACCAGCCCCCCTCTTTAATAATCATAAGCGGGTGACGTCACTCCACATGCATAGTAGTAGCTACTACATGTGTAGCTACTACTACACATGTAGCTGCTACACGTGTAGCTACTACTACACATGCAGCTACTACACATGTAGCTACTACACATGCAGCTACTACACGTGTAGCTACTACTACACATGTAGCTACTACACATGTAGCTACTACTACACATGTAGCTACTACTACACACGTAGTAGCTACTACACATGTAGCTACTACACAAGTAGCTGATACATTTGTAGCTACTTTTGCGACGAGGATGAACTGGCACTGGAAAAGGGCGAGGCGCCTGGTGATCCTTACCCGGTGCGGCCCGCGCCCCGGAGCTTGGGGAGGTAGGGCAGTTTCTTGATCATGATGGTGCCGTCGTAAAAGGACGGCTGGAACTTCTGGGCGATGGCGTTGGCGACGAGCACGGCCACGAGCACGGGCAGGATGTGAGCGATCTGGCCCGTCACCTCGAACACCAGCATGGCCGTGGACACCGTGTGGGTGACCGCGCCGGAGAAGGCGGCCGCTCCTACCCAGCCATGCGGGGGGGACGGCAGGGGAGGATTTGGCATGGGCGGTACGCGGCGCACACCGATAAAGCGAAACAGTTGTTTTTATTTGACCAGGTATGGCTGACTGAGCTACGTAGCTATTTTTCAGAAGCGGCCTGGCCGCCACAAATGATCGCTCAACGAAGTGGCTTATCGCGTGGAAATGCGTCGCAGGCAAATACTCTCAACGCGTGTTTCTAAACGTGGAGGGAAAAAAACCGGAGGACCCGGAGAAAAATCCACGCGGCCACGGGGAGAACGTGCAAACTCCAAATATACAGCAGGCGTCAGGTTCGGGATCGAACCCAGAACCTCCTAAACTCTTTGGTTCTATTCGGTAAAGTCAGGTAGGTAAAAAAATAAAACAACAAAAATCACGACGTTTCGGCTACAACACAAGTGGCCTTCATCAGGTGAAGGGACCAGATTGTCTCGAGGACAGCGCTGGAGTGAACACAGCCAAGTTCAGACCGCGACCTTTAAGCTTGTGTGAGAGGAATTAAGGTGCCTCTCACACAAGCCTTTAAGCTTGTGTGAGAGGAATTAAGGTGCCTTGACAAAGGAATTAGCATAAAAATTTGCATTTAATTGGCGAGCTTAGCATGGTGAACGGTGTAGAGGGGGTGAACATGTGCAGACCGGCGAGGGGGGGGGAGGGGGAGTTTACATATTGATGCTGTGAAAAGGGAATTTAAGCAGCTGCGAAAGTTTGGGATACCACTACTTGAAAAATATACTGTACCACTGAAAATTAGTTTAATGTTTGGTTCGATTTAGAACATCTTTCCTCCTGTCTACCAGGCATCGTAGGTGACATCTCGCCACCGTGGCATACTGATTGCACGGCACGGCACGGCCAGGGAGGAGGAGGAGGAGGAACATCTTTTTCACCGCGTGCGCCAGTGCGACCGTGACGCGCTGCGAAGCCGCACCTGCCAAGGCGTAGCCTCCCGGCGTGATGTACACGACGGTTCCTTCCGACTTGATTCCGTTTGGGAAGATGTAAGCGAGGACCTCGCCGACCAGCCGGCCGAGCGCGGCGCCTGCCAAGCACACTTGGTCATCGCTCCGTCGAATACGACCGCCCGCGCGAGGTGACCGGGAGAAAGCCTCGCGGCGTCTCGAAACTGTGGCACTGGGCCTTTGCAGAGTGTCTCATCACTCATTAATTAGCCGCGAACAATCTTCCGACAAAGAGGGCCGCAGAGCTTGGGCAATTGTTGGTAGCGCCGGTTCGCCGCCTGGCTGGCATTTCCGTCCGTCTCTGGTTCTTCAGTGGCTGTGCGATGAAGTTTGCACGAATGATGACGTGTCGCATAAAAAAACTAAAACATTTGTACGAGCGATGGGCTCTGACGATGGAGCGGAGCAGGGTGTCGCACACTGCAGTCCTCGCGACCCACCACAAATCCACCACCTTTCCACGTTTACCCATCCACTCTGCTGTTTGTGCTCGTACGCACATTGAACTTCCTTCGCACCGTACGAAGCCAACCGTGCTAATCGGAGGCGCAAGGGAAGGATGACAAACTAAAAAAAATACACGTGAAGTTGTTACGCACCGCGCGTGCCTGATGATTGGTATACATGCCGCGACATACGGGGGGAACAGACAACGTTGGAGCAGAATGCGTTGGAGGTACACAGCGAAAAAAGAATGTGACATCAAATTATTTTCAAGCGACTGCTGGACAAAGGCCTCCGCACACTGTTCCGGTCACGGGCGTTGTTTGGCCATACTTCAACTCTGTTTGCCAGCGCGGGTTTTGTAAAGTGGGCCAGGGCGACTGGGACCGGTTCATTTATCACTCGCCACTGATGTTAGCCGTGAGCGGGAATCGAACTCAGGTCGCCGGGTTTGTAGCGCAAGTTTGAGAACTGCTCTGCCATGGCTCCCTCTGACTGGCTTTTATAGAGATATAGGAAACTAACACACGAGAGAAGAGTAAACCGACGGTTGAGAACCCTTTTGTAATTACTTGTGATGATGATGGTTGTCTTGATGGTGATGATGATGATGTTAATGATGAACCAACTCACCGTAAACAAACACAGGCATGAAGTAACCAGCGGGAAGGGGCATTGTTGTCGCGAGAATGAGCATCCAGAACTAAAAACACACGGCACAACAGCGGACGTGACATTGCAACAGCGGAACCCAGTGCACTGTTAATGCCTCCCGACTCAGCAGATTCACCACGGCTCAGACTCGTGATTAATTGCCACCACTTGGGAGCCGTTATTTAAAGGACACATTCTAATTTTTTTCAGTAACTCTAGTGGCTGAACGAATCACATGAACCAATTTACACAGGACATATTATTACTAGAATAATACAAATTGAAGAATCACAGCCCTTTGTCAAACATTTACAATAGCCAGGTCGCTTCTGAAAAAGAGCCACGCAGCTCAGTGGGCCTTACCTGGTAAAATAAAAAAAATAGTTTATAGTTTTATCGGCATGTGCCGCATTACACCCCCCCCCCGCCGCGTGGCTGTGCAGGGTCAGCCGCCTTCTCCGGCGCGGTGACCCACAGGGTGGGCAAGCGGGATGGCGCTGGCACCTTCATGACGATGAAGACGCAGAGCGTGGCGTACACGCCGCTGTCGGGGTTCGCCCACTCGAGCCACAGGCTGCTCTGGTTGACCGGCGCCGCCAAGTTGGCGCTCCTGTTCGCCGACAGGACGAACCACGTGTCCCGGTCGAACATGGAGGTCAGCAGCTCCTTCATGGTGAGCTTTGTGGACAGAGATGGGTGACACACAACAACAACAACACCAGCGACAAACAACAACAATTGTATGGCAGGGGAGGGGAACTTACGGCCTGTAAAACTAAACAAAAATTATGATATTCTTAGTTCTTTCGGTAAAGTCACGTTGAAGGGAAACAACAAAATAATAATATATATATAAATTCTCGCATACATATTTTATTATTTTGTTGTTTCCTTTCAACGTGACTTTACCGAAAGAACTAAGAATATGAATTACTGCAGTCACGAAAGCTTTAAATAAAAAAAATTATGAATTCAACTTTATTTTCTCTCCAGGTAAGGCCCACTGAGCTATGTAGCTCTTTTTCAGAAGCGATCTGGCCACAGATGATCGCTCAACGAAGAAGTGGCTTATCATCACGTGGAAACGTATTGCAGCCAAACACTCTAAAGTCACGTTTCTAAATGTGGAGGGAAAACCAGAGGACCCGGAGAAAAATCCACACGACCACAGGCAGAACATGCAAACTCCAAATATACAGGAAGCAGGGTCGGGATTGGACCCACAACCTCCTGTATACCAAGCGAGGTAGTTGACATCTCGCCGCTGCGAGTGGATGATCCGGACAAGGCCGGCTGAAACTAGGCCCTGATTATGCACCCTTATACGCCGCCGATTGCCACTGCTCTTTTACCTGACCATGAATTGAACTCAGATCCCCAGTTTCATAGCAGTAATGGTTATAGTGCACACACGACAGGAGTTGCACTTCCCCAATATACACAGGGTGCATGCACTTCAGTCGGCTCATTTGTACATTCCTCTCTGCAAGATGTAACGTTTATAATGCGCTATGGTCGCTAAACGTGGGTTTAAGCGGCTCGTAAATCCATCATAGACTATCGTGAAGTGGAGGGATAGTTTAGTTTCTTTACTTTGTGCCAATGGCCTCCCAACCAGAACTGTGAGGCTGTAATAAAACACTTAAAAATAGCATGCGAAATATACACACGCCCTGATTGAAGAGAGCACTGATTCAATTAAAGATAGGGATTGTGTGTTTCCCACAACCACAGTGGGTAACACAGGTGGTGCGTCTGTCGGTCATCTCAGTCAGTTCACCTATGGCACCTGGGTCTGTCTCGTGACCTCCTGCCAGCGAGCCTTCGACACTTACAACTACAAAAAACTATTTATATTTTAAATCTTGACTTAAAGCTATTTTTTTTTTACCAGGTAAGGCCCACTGAGCTATACAGCTCTTTTTCAGAAGCGACCTGGCCACAAATGATAGCTCAGCAAAGTGGCTTATCACGTGGACATTTATAGCAGCCAAACAGTCTAAACGCACGTTTCTAAACGTGGAGGGAAAAACCGGAGGACGCGGAGAAAAAGCCACGCTTAGCTTCCGAGATCTGAATAGATTGAATGCATTCCGGGTGGTTGGCCTATAGGAACATTTCGCATGGATATACACGCCACGGGTGACACAGTGGGTGCCATCTGCGCTGCATCAGCATTCAGTCATTTTTACAATTACATTTTTTGTTTTATGTAATTTTGTTTATAGATGTTAAATGTATACCAACCAGACATCATGATATACTAGCACTGCATTGTAAAACATTTTTTTCTCAACGATTATTAATAGGGGAGAGCAGTGGTGTAATGGTTCGGGAAGCGTGCTATGAACTCGGTAATCTGAGTTCGATTCCTGGCCCTGGCAAACATCATCAGTGGGGGAGTGATCTGTGAAGCAGTCCTGGGGCCCTTCTTGACCAACCTGCACTGACCAGCATGGTGAAGTATGGTCAAAAACCCCCCATGACTGACATGGCATGGGGAGGCCTTCATCCAGCAGTTACGTGAACGAACGGATGTAAATTGAATACTTTTCATTAATTATTAATAACATTAATTATTAGTAATGGTGCATTACTGCACCTTGGAGCCCCGTGCCAAGTTTGCGTTAATCAACGTCAGCATCGCCTGCAACGCGAACCAGATTCAACAAATTCAAAACGTGACGGCCAAATAAATGATTAGATGTCAATCGCATGACACGTAGGGGTGGCACAAAAGTAAAACGGTGTTTTAGGAGGTCGAAAGGCGCGGAGAACAAGAACGAGAGCGTTTGCCCGTGCAAAAAAAATATGACCACAGTAACGCAGGCCGCAGCCGATCTGGAAGCGAAGCCAGATTTTTCCATACGGCAAAGTCAAGCGTGTGCTCAGGATCTCCATAAAATAAAGAGACGGGTTTGCGGCTGCACTCGATCTGCCCAGTGTTTTCATTGTCAAAGGCAATTCAACTCGATGAACTCGTAACAATTATGCGTGTGAGTCCTAACCCCCCCCCCCACTGCCCAGACCACCACCGCCTCTTTTAATTCTGCCAACAAGTGATAACTATTGAACCTTATACAATAGGGCAAGCACAATAAATCACATCGGTGACTTTTTTTTTTTTTTAGAACGGCCGTACAGAATGTGGGAGATGAAATAACAACGCGAGGCAAAATGTTTATTCCAACTTCGGCTCTTTGATCCGAGCTGGCTGCTGGGCTATTAGTTTTACATTCTCCATCGGGGGGGGGGGGGGGGGGGGCGTGCGATGTGTCCTCATAAGCGAGCGAGACAGATCGTCACAGGAATATTGTACAAGTTATGAAATGACATAATATACAGAAATACATAACCGTCCGTAACAAAAGGCTCGGGGCGGAGCACGCGCTACGAACCACAGCCATTTGAGTTCAATTTCTGGCCAGCGACGGCTAACATCACGGTGGCAGGCGATATCTGAACCGGCCCTGGGTTGCCTTTTTACCCCTTCAGCGATCCCCAATGGCCAGGTCATGATATGTTGTTTGATGAGGCTGCGTTGGCACGGGGTGTACAAGCGCAACCAAATCTCATTCGTCATTATCGCTGTGGCCTCAAAAGGAGCAATGTTTAAATGGCAATTGCCCTCCTTCGAAGCACGTGATGTATGTCGTATGTACGTTGACCTTCTTTGGCACCGTACGTAGCCAACCGTGAGTGTGCGAGTGAGTGAGTGAGTGGTTCAGTGAGTGGGTGAGTGTATGTATGTATGTTGACCTTCTTTCGCACCGTACGTAGCCAACCGTGAGTGAGTGAGTGGGTCAGTGAGTGGGTGAGTGTATGTATGTTGAGCTTCTTTGACACCGTACGTAGCCAACCGTGAGTGTGTGAGTGAGTGGGTCAGTGAGTGGGTGAGTGTATGTATGTATGTATGTTGACCTTCTTTCGCACCGTACGTAGCCAACCGTAAGTGAATCAGTGAGTGAGTGGGTCAGTGAGTGGGTGAGTGTATGTATGTATGTATGTTGACCTTCTTTCGCACCGTACGTAGCCAACCGTGAGTGTGTGAGTGAGTGAGTGGGTCAGTGAGTAGGTGAGTTTATGTATGTTGAACGTCTTTCGCACCGTACGTAGCCAACCGTGAGTGTGTCAGTGAGTGAGTGGGTCAGCGAGTGGGTGTGTATGTATGTTAAACTTCTTTTGCACCGTACGTAGCCAACCGTGAGTGTGTGAGTGAGTGAGTGGGTCAGTGAGTGGGTGAGTGTATGTATGTATGTTGAACTTCTTTTGCACGGTATGTAGCCAACTGCGCTAATCGGTAGAAGGGCTACTGATTTATGGGCTACGAAGAAGGGCCGTTTACCAAATCCTCGCCGATTATATATTTAACCTTTTAAGGCCACGGTGTGATTGACGGACTGCGTCGAGTTTTTTTGTTGTTGTTGTTGTTTCGTTCGTATATTTATGCCGTGTTCTCAGATTGCAATGCGTGGCAAATTCAGTTCCGTTTCCCGAAGAGAGCTCCCAGCGGGTGGCGTATGCCTCTCGCACCCCCAACGGGGCACGGTACAACGGGAGAAGGCACGCGGAGCGCAACGTGGGCATTCTTACCCGCGCGGCCATGAACTGGCCAATCCCAGGCGGGAACGTGATGACCGCCAGCAGGAAAGCCACCGCGGTGGAGTAGAGGGCCTTGCTGTGAGAGCACAAGGAGCATTAAGATTTAGCGGTTGGGTTCACTGTGACCTCACACATTCTCTGACCTATGTGTACACGTACGCGTAGAGCAAATTTGTCAATCCACTGCTGGATGAGGCCCTCCCCCGTGCTTGTTGTGTGAGTCGTGCAGGCTATGTGGCTGTATCCATAATCAATGGGTTTTTTTAGGGTTATTAAACCCGCCACCACCCAACAGAGTCAAATTAGTAAGGTTTGTCACGTAAACAAAACGTGCCAATTAGTTAGCAATTCAGCACACTGGTGTGTTGGAGAGTAAACCCACGACATTTACAATTCTAGTCCGACGTTTCGCTGGTGATTGTGACCAGCTTCGCCAGGCGATTAGCCCGAATTGTGAAGTCCTCCTGTTTTGGTCTGAAATGGAGGAGTAAAGGTGATGTCACCACCGTCAGCCTATCAGGTGCGACGACCAGAAGGGTGGTTAATGTAGTCATATAAATTACAACGATATGACGTTAAACCTATGTGTACATCCAGAATGCAGGTTTTTTTTGGGTTAGATCGCGTAAGCATATATTAATGTGTCGTTAAACCCGCCACCACCCAACACAGCCAATCACGTAAACAGAACGTGCCAATTCGTTACTTGTACAGCACACCGGTGTGTTGGCTGTTGTGCGAGTCGTGTAGTCTACATGACCGTACTTCCCTACGCTGGTCAGTGCGAGTCGGTGAAGGTGGGGAGCACAGACACGTGAGCGTATTAGTACATTACAACAATGGATTTTGCTTCAGTGCCCACAATGTAGCCACAGAGCCTGTAACACCCGTGAAGTATGTTGGCAGCAAATCCAAGCAACGGGATCTGATGAGATGTGGCCCATGCGCCCTACCCGGGCATGGGGTAATGGATAATACGAGGAGAATTAAATTAATTTGGCACACGAGTCTGGAAAAAATGCCTTCTGTCAGCAAAGACAGATGAAAGAATGGCAAGGACAGAAATGGATTGGTGACATCGATTAATGAAGCTGTCTCAAGACAGGAAGGTGATGTAGAAGTGTGGAGGGCCAGCTAAAAACGGAGATCTGTTGCTACCAACCTCTTACCAATAGAGAGGGCGATTGATTGAGAGATATCGGCCGTGACAGAAGCATTCTCGGCACTGTGTTGCCGCAGCTGGCTGGCGAAAGTCACCCGAAGCATAAAATTCCCACTTACTCGCTGGCCAGGAGCTTAGCGGTCACTTTGTTCTTGCGGACGTACGCAAAGAAGGTGCGCTGGCAGTAGAGGTAGGCACAGCTCACCCCTCCGCAGATGACACTGGTGGGGGAGGGGCAAACAGCAAGGCGGCATGGATCTGTTAGTGATGCCACTACTGCCACAATCCACGTGGCGGAGAGCGACGGGTCGGCTCTTACGCCGCTCTAGGGATTATACAAATTACTGCCCAAAGGGTCGCTCTTGCAAATGAGACTCTCGATCACCCTGGTGCAAAAAAAATAAATACGTAAACAATTAAACTGTCAAGTCAGGTTCGCGAGAGAAAACGTCATTCCAGTATTCACAGTCACAAATTGTGGAAATATTGCTTGAAGATGGCATCGCGAAATTCATAAAAAAAAAATGCACCCCCATCCATTCATCGTAAACACTGCCGAATCAGAGAAAAGTATACCGTACACATGCCGTATTTGCCAGATTTTAAGATTCACTTTCCCCCCCCCCGTATTTTAAAGCGAAATTTGGTGGGGTGCCTCTTACGATCGGGCGGTGCGTGTGAGCGCAAGCGACCGGATTCGTAGCATCTTACAACCCACAGGATACGGCCAGAGCCTCACATTTCGAGCAGTGGGCCCTTCCGCAGCGCAAATAGAGAACGACTTGTGGATTTATTCACGTGCATGCGACACCAACGGTAGTCCCTCGATGTCCGTGTTTTAATTAGACTGCAGAACAACCTTGCGGAGTCCATTCAATTCGGTTCTCTGACACCAGGTGGCCTTCCTCCAAACTGCATAGAGCATGCTTGTTGTGTGGCAATACATTGACACTTTCATTCCTTTGTCATTTGTCTCCTCAATTTCATTCAGATTGTGCTATCGAGCGTTATTTCACGAGAGGCGGAACTTATTGGGATATCTCGCAGAGTAGTACAGCCCTCTGAGTTACAGAACGGCCCATGGAAGTGGACATCACAGAACTCCTTCTGAGAGTGCCGCTCAAGTGACCTCTGGTCCAAGCAGTTGCGAGCAACACTGTTCGCCGCCCTGCTCGACAGAGTAATGCTCATTGCATGATAGTCCAAACAGATATTTTTAATACACCGAGCTGGAATTTAACCAACTTGAACGCAGAAGCAAATTAAATGCCATGCCGTTATCTTGTGCAGTCATCGTGACCGGGTTGAAAGCCATACCAATAAAATTTCGCGGTTGTGGCATGTTAACTTTTTCGCCTGGTATACAGGAGGTCGTGGGTTCGATCCCAACCCTGATGCCTGCTGTATATTTGGAGTTTGCGTGTCTCTCTCCCCGTGGTCGTGTGGATTTTTCTCTGGGTCTTCCGGTTTTCCCCTCCACATTTAGAATCAATGTGCGTTTTAAGTATTTGGCTGCTATGCATTTTCAAAAAATAAGCCATTTCTTTGAGCTATCATTTGTGGCCAGGTCGCTTCTAAAAAAAGAGCTTGATAGCTCAGTGGGCATTACCTGTTAAAAAAATTAAAAGGTTTTAGTTTAAATAGTTGAGTTTCTTTGACCAACTCACTGCCCCATTTAATCACAGGCAGCTGACACTCAAATTCAAATCGAGGATCTCAGCGGTACCAGCTCAGGTGGCTGACCTCTGAGCCACCTCGGCCACCTCGCATCTCCACTTTAAACTCTCTCCTCATTGTTCCGTGGGCAGCAGAATATGTGTAAATTGTACGCGACGTCTGCGGTTTGCGGTTCCCACGTGGTTCTCACGTGGTTCCCACGTGGTTCGCTCGCGATCGCAGAGCCGAGCGGTCTCCTCTCACCCAAGCAAGGCGAAGAAGACGAGCTCGGGAAGGTCGAACGGAAAGTCGACGAGGAACTGCGTTTTGAACAGGGCCACGATGGTTTCTGAAACAACGGCAGACGAGAGCGACGACGTGAACGTGCGTTGTCGGCGTGCCTGGGCGCGCACGGACGAGCGTTGGCGCGGACGGCGTGCGGGCCTCGCACGCGCGACGACTGGATGGCTGGAGATGAGACACCCTCATTTGGACACTGACACAGGCAATCGGTTTAATGTGGATTCACAGCCGCACTGTCAATCAGCTGCCATGCGGACGAACGCCAGGTTGGTCACGGGGATCGTTTTACCGTATGGTATGTTCAGCTACAGCTGCCCTTGGGATGGTGGGGGGGCAGTAGGGCCGTTGTGTGTGGGGGGCCACCACAACGGTGATTCAACACTTAGGAAAGTGAACTTGGGGTTGGGTGCCATAGGGATATCTGTTTGGTGCAGGGCCGACCCCGGCACCCGCGTAGCGCCGGCCCTGCTGGTCAGGGAGGGCGGTTAACCCGAGTGAGCCCTGACCATTTCGGAAATCACTCGCGCACCGATTGACGTTAGCCGTGGCTGGGGGAATCGAACTCGAGTTGCCGGCCGGGGGGTGGGGGGGGGTGGAGGGTTCGAAGCGCAGTGCGCCACACTGACCGCGTCGTGCTTACGTTGAACTTATTTCGCGGCGTTCGCAGCCGACCGTGCTAATCGGAGGTGCCTGACGAGAGGGTGCTGAACGGACGAATGGGCCTAGCGTGGTCTGAGGGGGGACACTCCGGAGGGTTCCTGAGACCCGAGCCATTTGATTTTCGTGCACCCCTGGTCATGAGATCGCAATCATTAGACACAAAGTGGTTGCCCCAAGTGAACCACAACACCTCCCTGATCTCGTCAAGGAGAATAAACCATCATGTAAACTCCGGCTATCCTCGCGGCAGTGGCTTTTGGCTAGCCATCAATTAAAGACGGTGGTCTACACATTGCGCGCTTTCAGATGTGCTTCTTCGGCCGTCTGGAACGCTCTTCCTTCCGATATTAGGAAGCCACTGGGAGCTGTACACTTTTGAATCTAGCTTGACAAACTAATTTATCCAGAACTGCTTTTTGTGTTTAGTTTGTTGTCCTTACTCCGCACCTTCGATTAGCGCGCTTGGCTACGTACGGTGCGAAAGAAGTTCAACACACACACACATACGCACGCACGTACGTACGTGCGTATGTGCGTATGTGAGTGCGTGTCTCCCGGAGCGTCCCACGAACCTTGCTCCCTGTTGAGCACGGAGAGGATGCGGAACATGAGGGCCCCGCACGACGCGGCGAAGAATCCCCGCCAGTAATCGCGCACGGCGAAGTGACTCGACATGACCTCGACGCTGAAGAGCACCCCTACAGGCACGGTGGGGGGGGGGGGGGGGGGGGGGTTAGTGGCCGTTCTCCCTTGGTATGGGTCGTTGCTTCACTCTGCTGATGAGACGCTGTGCGTCGAAACCGGTCCGGAGCTTTTGCTTGCGTTGAAACCAATGCTGCTGCCGAGATCACGCAGCTCACAGATGGTCGAGCGGTGAACGGGATCCGTGACAGCGTGCACGCACGTTGAACTTCTTTCGCAACCGCAGGTGGCCAACCGTGCTAATCGGAGGCGCGGGGCAAAAACGAATGCACGGTGATGACAGTGGCGGTGACAGCAATCGACGTGACCTCACCACTAACAGGAGCTCCGAAGCAGCATCCCACGCCAACAGCGGCGGCTGCCACCAGCATCTCGTACTGCCGCGCTGCGTTCTGTACGCACCAGGACATGGGGGGGAGGGGGGGCGATAGCCCGCACGTGACCCTCAACAACGAACCGATCGGTTCTACGGGTGAGGATTCAGACACGCGGCATCGCGCAAAAAGCGGCACGCTCGGCACGGCGCCTGCCCGCGGAGAGACCTTGAACGGGCGGAAAAACGTGGATCGTCAAGCCAATTCGGGCGATAGAGGCCCACATTTTGTTGCCTCCACGCACGGCCCGTTTGTCAATCCACTGCTGGATGAGGACCATCTCGCGCAGCGTGGGTCGTGGAGTTTGTTTGATAACGCAGGGCGGGAGGGGGGCATAGCTGTCGGAGCGGAGTACAGTATAACTATGGACTTTGCAGCATCGTTCTCTGCTGCCCACCATAGATAGTCGCACTGCCTGTAACAACCTGTGATGGATAGTGGTCACCCATCCAAGCACTATCCAGGCTCAGTGCTGCTTAGCTCTTGAGCTTCGGCCATTGGTGTTCATTGGCTCGACGGCAAGGGTTTTATTCTGACCCGTGCTGGTGGGTAAAGGCGAGCCACAGGCGTTGAAGCATGGTAACAGGACAACAATGAGTTGTGCCACCCTACCCTCTGCTGCCTGTATGTTGACCTTCTTTTGCACAATACGTAGGCAACCACGCTAATCGGAGGTGTGCGCGGGAAGGACAACAAGCTACATACCAACAAGCAGTTCTAAAGAAATTAGTTTTCAATCGAGATGATTTAAAAGTGCATTGCTCCAGTGGCTTCCTAATACCAAGAGGAAGAGCATTCCAGTTGGCCGCAGAAGCACATCTGAAAGCGTGCAATTCAGTGAATGTCGTTGTTCTATGGCCAGCCAACAGCCGCTGCGAAGGATGACCGTAGCTTTGCGTGATGGTTTAAGATCCTTGACAAGATCAGCAAGTTATTGTGCTTCATTTGCAGCAAGCACTTGGTGTGCAATGGCAAATAGGGAGTACGGTATGTACCTCGTAAGTCCCAGCCACTCTCGTCATCACTCGACCAAGGAAGGTGGCCAGCATGCTGGATATGTGCACAAACGGGCCCTGTGAAATCAAATAATAGTTATACGGTAATATATAACACAAAAAAACGTACATTTGTAAAACGCCGGACAGTTTCTATCAGGTTCAGAGGTGCGGGAATCCACAAACCAGCCGGAAGGGACAGTCAGGAACCGGTGCCAACAATTTCCCAAGCTCTGCGGCCCTACATTGGGATGTTTGGGCAACTCCATTCAGAAAATGTCGGTACACGTGCGAGGAAAGCGGGGTGCCCAGAGAGAGAGAGAGAGCCCACACGCATGCGAGGGACTTACAAAGCGTGGACTTACAAAGTGTTGAGATCTCTGGACACTGCACCACGAAGAGAAGCATGCTGTGCTCGTGAACTTGGAGAGCGATTTTTATTTATATATTGAGTGATGGGCGTACCCATTTCGTGGCACAAGCTTGTGCACTGCTCACTGGGAGAGCTCAAGATCCGACGGTCGACTGGAATGTGGATCTACAATTCGGAGTTTGTAACGCTGGGTTTTGTATCGCCACTGTCGAGGGTAAGGATTTGCGAGCATAGCATGGGGCCCTTGGATACATCGGCATCTCAAAGCACCTCACGTCATGCAAGCACCAGTCAATGCACCCGGTAACACCTTGATATATCGAGAACAGCAGAGCTTGGGAAATTATTGGTGCAGGCTCACTGTGTGGCTGCTATTTCCTGTGGTTCCTCGTGCCTCTGAGACGAAGTGAATCATGAGCGGTGCATTACAAGCTGAAATTATTACGATGTCTCATCTCAACCATTCCAATGCCCTTCTACAGTCTGGCCCTACACAGCACAAGGTGTACGCAGCAGCGGTCTGCAAGTGGGCATTGTTCTGCCAGTGGGGGGGAGGGGGGTCGATGTTGCTACGTGGTTAATCCCGCTGAAGTTAATTGGCAAGTAATTGATCAAATTGGCTGCATCGGCAGCATAATGCTGCCGATGCTGTGGTTGTATTGGGCACCGCGGTGGCGAGAAGTTAACTCCCTCGTCTTATACGCAGGAGGTCGTGAGGTCGACCCCGACCCTGACGCCTGCTGTATATTTGCAGTTTGCGTGTTCTCCCCGTGATTGTGTGGATTTTGCTTCTCCCCCCCCCCCCCACCCCATTTAGAATCATGATGCGTTTAGAATATTTGGCTGATATAAATTTCCACGTGACAATAAGCCATTTCGTTGAGCGATCATTTGTGGCCAGGTCGCTTCCGAATTAAAGCTACGTAGAGCTCAGGGGACCTTACCCGGTACAATACAAAATAGCTCACCATTTGTCATGGTTTTTTATTCTTCCAGTAGGAGGGGGGGGGGGCGGCATGTCGCCACGTGGTTAATCCCACCGAAGGGTAATCGATGAACGTTGGCTTGCAGGCTGCACTCATCCCCACGCGAGCGCCGGGGTTACCACTTTGCCGAGGAAGACCGTGCTGCCGGCACTGAGCGTGCACGTGAGGCCGATGACCTTGGCGGCGAAGGTGCGTATGGACAGGTACTCCTCCAGCACCACTCCGCCCAGGATGGTCTTCAGCTCAGGGATACCCGAGCCTAATGAACCGCGCGGGAAAGGAAAAAAAAACACAAACATAAAGATCCACCACCCCCCCCCCCTCGCCGCCACCACCTCCGTGTAGAACCTTCACGGACTGTTGGGGGCAAGTGCCGTTAGCGAGCGGCCTATGAAGGTCGGCGTGGCGCACGAGGGGACACTGCGGTGAGCGCAATGCCCGCCCGCCTTTGTCTCTCCCGGCGGTGAGGGTTTACACACCGCACCAGTTCCTCGCTTAAGACTGAGTCGACCTACAGGAGGCGCAGTGCCGCTTCCGATCGTCGTCACCGGTGTTAGCCGTGACTGGGGATTGAACTCGGGTCGCTGGGCTAGGGGCACAATGCGTTAACCACTTACACGATCACTCCCCAAACCAAGGATGCAGGGTGCATACAATCAAATTCAAATATCCCCTGCATAGCCTTACATAGACTGCTGGGCCAAGTGCTGTTAGCGAGGTGGTTACGGTACCACTTGAGAAATAGCAGATCCTTAATCCGCACCTCCGATTGGCAGGCTTGGTGGGGGGGGGGGGGGGGTGAAAGAAGTTCAACGTACATGCACACAGACACCCGCACACAACACGGCTCTCCCTGCGCGTTCCCTCACCCCCGGAGGCCGGCGAGACGCTCTGAGCGAAGCCCGTGGAGAAGGCGGTGAGGGCCATGGGGAAGGAGACCCAGGCCACCCACTGCAGCAGCCGGTGGTCCTGCAGCTCGTCAAAAAGCATGCGGTGCACTGCGCCGACAGCGACAGCGATCGCCGGGGGGAAAAAAGAAAAAAAAAGGACGCGTTAGAAGGTCGTGCACACGCAACGGCTCTGCCACGCGAGCGTCAAGTTGTCTAGGAGGCGGCTGGGAGATGTTAACTCGCTCGCCCGGTGTGCAGGGGGTTCGTGGGTTCGATCCCAACCCGGGGCGCCTGCTGTATATGTGGAGTTTGCGCGTGTGTCTCTCTCCCCGTGGTGCCGTGGATTTGTGTCCGGGTCGTCCGGTTTTTTTCCTCCACATTTAGGAACATTTTGATTTGAAGCTTTCGTGACTGCAGTAATTCATATTCTTAGCTCTCTCTCGGTAAAGTCACGTTGAAGGGAAACAATAAAATAATAAAATATATATATAACAATAAAAATTCTCACGACGTTTCGACCATAACACAAACGGTCGTCATCAGGTGTTTGTGTATATGGTCGAAACATCGTGAGAATTTTTTTTGTTTTATATATATTTTATTATTTTATTGTTTCCCTTCAACGTGACTTTACCGAAAGAGCTAAGATTATTTAGGAACATGCTGAAGACGATTGTGTTGTGAACGAAACGTCGTGATCTATTATTTTTCTATCGACGTGACTTTACCGAAGGACCCGAAGGGTATGCTTTTAGAGTATTTGGCTGCTATAAATTGACGCATAAGATAAGCCACTTCGTTGAGCTATCATGTGCGGCCTGGTCGCTTCTGAAAAAAAAGAGATATACAGCTCCGTCGGTCATACCTGCTAAAATTAAATGAAACTATTTTTTTAATAGTTTAGTTTAAGGAGAGTTGGTCATGCAGTTCTGACAGCGGCAGCATCTACAGCGCAGCGGTCAACTGCTCCGAGGTCCTCCAGCACCCCCTAGTGCAAACCCCGGCACTGCGTGTGTTATGGGGCCGGCCATAAATGACGTCACGCGATTTTGGACGATTTTTGACCCCCCCCCCCCTCGTCACACGAAAAAAAAGTCAGACCCCCCCTAAAATATGACGTCACAAAGCTCTGCCCACCCCCCCCCCCCCCCCCAAATAATAAAAACATGCTTCAAATCATATTCTTGGTTCTTTCGGTAAAGTCACGTTGAAGGGAAACAATAAAATAATAAAATATATATAAAACAAGAAAATTCTCACGACGTTTCGACTGTAACACAAACAGTCATCATCAGGTGTGGTTTTCACAGCTGATGATGAATATGAATCGCTGCAGTTACGAAAGCTTTAAATCAAAATTTTTTGCTTCAAATCGCTTTAAACTATTGTCATTGTAGTGCGTATTTAATGTGGCGCTCCACTCTGATGTTGCAGGAGAAAACATTTATTGAAAAGTCTATTTAATTAAGTAGAACGTGTTGTCTATATATTTATTTAAAGTTGCGCATTTTGATGTGACGTCACATTTCTCACCCCCCCCCCCCCTCGTCACACATCGTCACAAATGTCTGATTCCCCCCCCCCTAGGTGCGTGACGTCACTTATGGACGGCCCCTATATGTGCATCATCGATCACCATTATTGCCATCAGCCACGGTCAATCCACCGCTGGACGAAGCGGGAGGCACAGCCGCCTCCTTTAAACAACAAACAACAACAACAACCACCACCACCACCACCCAGCTCTGCCCTGAAACAAGTGAAACAGGGCCACGGCCGAGTCACCTTTCTGCAGCTTTGCCGACGTGAAGTCCATGGTAAAGCTGATGAGAGCCATGAGCATCCCGAGCGCGAAGAGGAACCACCAGTCCTCGCCCGTCTTCATCAGCAGGCTCTTGGCCACGCGCAGGCACGCTGCGACACGAGAGGAGGAGGGGGGGGGGATGTTAATTTTCAGCAGAAGTATCCCGGAACGGTAAACCACGTGGCTGGTGAGTGAATCCTCTTCACCCCCTACGCGGCACGGGGCCGCAATGAGTTCCCTCCATACTCTTTGGTTCTTTCGGTAAAGTCACGTAGGTATTAAATACAATAATTCACGACGTTTCGATCGCAACACAAGCGGTCGTCCTCAGGCGGAACCCGTTCAGCAGTTCTACTGCTGGATTATATTTTTGTTGGCTGATTCAGCCATTCTACTGCTGGATTATATTTTTGTTGGCTGGTTCAGCAGTTCTACTGCTGGATTATATTTTTGTTGGCTGGTTCAGCAGTTCTACTGCTGGATTATATTTTTGGTGGCTGGTTCAGCAGTTCTACTGCTGGATTATATTTTTGGTGGCTGGTTCAGCAGTTCTACTGCTGGATTATATTTTTGTTGGCTGGTTCAGCAGTTCTACTGCTGGATTATATTTTTGCTGGCTGGTTTAGCCGTTCTGCTGCTGGATTATATTTTTGCTGGCTGGTTCAGGAGTTCTACTGCTGGATTATATTTTTGTTGGCTGGTTTAGCCGTTCTGCTGCTGGATTATATTTTTGTTGGCTGGTTCAGCAGTTCCACTGCTGGATTATACTTTTGCTGGCTGGTTCAGCAGTTCTACTGCTGGATTATATTTTTGTTGGCTGGTTCAGCAGTTCCACTGCTGGATTATATTTTTTTCCGCCTGAGGACGACCGCTTTGTGTTGCGATCGAAACGTCGTGAGTTATTTTATTTTATACCCACGTGACTTTACCGAAAGAACCAAAGAGTGTGGATCCCTGCAGTCACGAAAGCTTCAAATCAAGATTGCGTTCCCTCCACTTCTTCGTCCTGTCCTTGGCAACATTGCGCTGAGCGCCGCCCCAAGAGAGGTCGATATCGCTGCTGCCAGCTCGTCCTTCACGGCCTTACACCAGGTGGTCTTGGGTCGCTCAGGTTTCCCTTTTGCCCCGTGGTGTCCATCGTCGGGCAATGTTCGTAGCTTACGGGAATCGACGGCAAGGGATCCCCGTGCTCGTACCGCATTTCAGAATCAGAATATTTATTCCTACTGGAGGTGTCCAGTAGAATTTGACATTGGAGCGCGTCTCCTTATATCTCTGTTTAAACCACAAACCTGGCTATTGTGGCTTCAACAAGGCCTGCGGTGGCGAGATGTTATCTGCCTCATCTCGTGTGCAGGAGGTCGTGGGTTCCACGTCGACCCTGACGCCTGCTGCTGCATTATTGGAGTTTGCATGTTCTCTCCGTGGTCGCGTGGATTGTTCTCCGGGTCCTCCGGTTATTGTCTACACATTTAGAAGCATGCGCTTAACAGTGCTTGGCTTCTAGAAATGTCCACGTGATAAGCCACTTCGTTGAGCTATCATTTGTGGCCAGTTCGCTTATGAAAAAAGAGCTGGTTAGCTCAGTGGGCCTCTACCTGGTAAAATAAAAACAGTTGAACACTCAAGAGTCCCAGCAATGCACCCCCGTTTTTGCAGGATGAATAAACAGTGGGTACGAATTAAGAGTTTCATTTACCAGACAAAGCGCCGCGTGCATGCCTATTGTTTACAGTCACAACACGAACGATTCGACTATGATAACACAATGAGTTGTGCTTTAGAATACAGGTCAAAATGTCACGCCTGCTTGATGACGCAATCTCGTGTAGAGGGGATAATGCCAGTGCTTAATTTTAGCCGGAACAGTCTGGAATGCTGTTCCGGGAATTATTCTGGTATGCCACATTCATCTCGACTTGTGTTGTCCTCGTGATACAATACTGTGGTTTTGTGTGCGGTAGTGACCAAACACGTGCCGCTATAGTACTTTATTCACATAGGGTACAAGAATATAGGATTCGTATGTACTCTAGTGGCAGTGCCTTACGCTGATAATCCCTACTCCGAAACAGCCTAGACAATTTTTGATTTAAAGAACCAAGAATAACCAAGAATAAGCCTAGACAATGTTCTGAAAACAAATATCGAGTGACAGCTTGAGTCCTGGAAGATAATATTTGTTATGTTGACTAAAAGTATAAAAAGTATTCAATCCACCAATGGATGAAGGGCCTCTCCATGCCGTGTCGGTCACGGAGGTTGTTTGACCATACTTCACCTCGACGGTCCGCTCAGGTTTGTGAATTTGGAGAACACTCCAGGAAACAGTTCAGACACCGCTCGCCACTAACGTTAGCCGTGGCTGGGAATCGAAATCCAGGTCACCAGGTTCATAGTGCGTTGAACTGAACGATTTGCCGCCGCTACCACTCATTAATAGCTGAAACATTTAAGAAAAATGCAATTTGCAGGAGGGCACATTGTTTGACATTGCCATTTTGAATGTGTGTGTCCGTGTAACCTTGACGAATATTACACTCCATAACTTGTCAATCATCAACCTAGCAATAACACCTCGGCAGTTTCCCGTAGGAACACTTTGAAAACTCATTTCTTTAAAACTGCTTTTTGTGTTTCATTTGTTGTCCTTCCCCCACACCTTCATGCAGCTTTTGCCTGGAAAAAGTTAGAATGCCAAGGTACATGTTGGAGGGTAAGGCAGTCATTGATATCGTCTGATGTGTAGTGTGTGTGTACACATCAGCACTCGGGAGACAGGGGCCTCTATACCAGCCCTTGGTAACCATGCCGACCTTAATAGGAAACCAATGGATCTTTGCGCTTTTACATCTAGATTGAAAACTCATTTCTTTAGAACTGCTTTTTGTGTTTAGTTTGTTGTCCTTCCCCCGCACCTCCGATTAGCACGGTTGGCTACGTACGGTACGAAAGAAGTTGAACATACATACACTTTCAAACAGCAATACCTAGGTCCTAAGTCTAGAATCGAATTCCACATTGTTACAAGATAGGGAAAATGTGTACATAAGACAATCGTGCTGAAACTCTTGCCAAAGCGTCAAGACTCACAAAGTAGGATTAACTTTAATAACCCTGGAGGCAAGGATAGGCCGATTTGTTCCTCGAAATATAAAATTATATTTATTATTATTTTATAGTGGAATGGTGATTTAGTGATCCGTGCACTCCACACGATAAGCCACTTCGTTGAGCTATACTTTGTGGCCAGGTTGCGTCTGAAAAAGAAGCTAAATGTTCAGTGTGCTTTACCTGGTAAAATAAGAATTGCTTAATTTTATTTGTGTTTTTGTGTGATTTGGTTACCTTTCCTCTACTTTGCACTCCTATCTTGTTTTTGTACTCTTTGTCTTTCTAACGTTCTTACCCGCCCCTACTGGATATTTGTGAAAAGGAGCTTTATAGCTCATCGGATTTCTCCATTAGAAATAAATATTCTGATTCTGAGTGATATCTGAACCGTTTTCGCACCCCTCCCAACCACCACTACGCAGCATGGTGAAGTATGGTCAAACAACCCCAACAAACAGCGTGACACGGGAGGACTTCAGACAGAATTGGATTGACAAAGGGCTCTCAATAACTCGTGCATATCTTTACCATTACATATTTTATATTCGTAGAGATGGCCGTGACTGAGTGAAGTGTAAATTATAATATTGTTCTTTCATATGGCTGATGTAGATGCAGAGCAACAACGACATATTGCAGCTGTAAAGTTTAATGATGTGCTATAAGTGATCACTAGCAAGAATTTGGCACAAATTACTTAAAAAAAATCTACATTTTCGATTTTAGCTCCCAAATATTCTGACACGGAGGTTGACTGGATTGACACACTTAGCAAAGTCGGTCTAAAAAAATCCCAATCTGCTTTTGCTGAACACTAAAAAATTAGCACGGGTAAATATTCAAACCCTATCGTCAGTGTGCATTCACAAGTACGGCCCTTTCGTCTCTCCACTGCTGGATGACGGCTTCCCCATTTCCATGCAGGTCATGGGAGTTATTTGTCCAGTTGGTGAAGGGCATGGGCAGCATTGAACGTGGGAGCACAGTACAGCAATTCCGCGGCTTTTGCTGCACTGCCGAATAGAAATAATCCTGACTCCAAAAAAAAAAAACAAGTTAAATCCGAAACAAAGCGAGAATCCTCCCCACCACCACCAAAATAGTGACCGGTTGTATATACGCAAACACACCAACGATACTGAGGCTCACTCGCGCAACCTTGAGCAACAAAAACACCAAAAAAAACCAGCGACGTGAACACCACCCAGCGCTGATGTCCCGTCGCGCGACCAACCTCGCTTCCTTTGCACGCTCGCGGTGGGGACAGCGCCCGCACTCGCCAGCGGCCAGGGCAGGTGGTGGTGGTGGTGGGAGGGGCGGACACAGCCGACGGCCACGCGCGCTCCTACGGTCGCCTTTACGGGACGGTGGCAGCTGTCTCAGAGGGGGGTGTGGGGGAGACGCGGAGCCCACGGGTCGGGCGTAGGCAGCCCCTTGGCGTCAGCGTGAGCTGAACTTTACAATGGGACAGACTCGAGCGAGGGAGTCGCGCCAACAATAGGAGGAGAGGTGGGAGGTGGGGCGGGCTACTCTCACCACCCTCTCTGCCTGTAGCAGCTGAAGAGCATCCTACCTGGGAGTCACGGGGCAGTGGAAATCTGCGGCGATGATCGCGTCCTAAGTTGACTGCTTCACTGAATTGTGTGCGGGGGTATGAACGCACGTTGAACTTCTTTCGCATCGAACGCGACCAATCGCGTTTATCGGAGGTGCAGTGTTGAGTTTACGGGGAGTGTTGCGTCTATTGGCAGTGTTGAGTCTATGGGTAGTGTTGAGTCTATGAGGAGTGTTGAGTCTATGGGCAGTGTTGAGTCTATGGGCAGTGTTGAGTTTATGGGCAGTGTTGAGTCTACGGGGAGTGTTGAGTCTACGGGCAGTGTTGAGTCTATGGGGAG